AAAGATTTCCACGAATCCGAGAAAGTCGTAAAAGTCGTGACCCCCTCTTATTAAAATTGGCAGTTAGGTTTCAGAGATCCCGTAAAGCAATAGATAGGAGCAGTCGCGGTCGAGGAATCGCATTAGAAAGGCGCGTGGCCACAGCCAAGAGATGTCACAAGGTAAACCGCATGCATAACTCGGACGTAGGGAATTATTGTACGTGTAGGTACCTACATATCTCTCGAAGATCGGGACACCGGCATTGCCGAGCTGGAACGCTGTGTGTGTCGTCCTTGGGAAAAATCCGCTTTTACGAGCGTATCCTTTCTTCCTCCGTGCTTCGTTTCCTCTTCTACACGCGATCAAACTATTCGTATCGGGGAGCCAATAGGAATCTCTACCGGAGATGGACAAAATGCTCATCGAGACACTTTGTGCAACGAATAAGAGACAAAATAACTGTTTACCCTCTCCTCGAAAAATAAATAAATCGTATCATTCTTCAAGAACGATGAGCAAGCTTTCTTCTACGATTCTGAATACGGCGATGATTCTTAAATTGGAACCCAGACGCGAAGTCGAACATTTTTATCTCTTCCAACCGGGGGGAACCCCCTTAGAGTCAGCTGCAACGATTTCTATATAAGGCAATGCTTTTTTTATTCTCTTTTCTTTCAAAGTCGCCTCCGAGGCTCAACGGTAACAGTTGAATGAAGATATTAGCAAATTCGAGGATTTAATTTTCATTTTTAAATTTTCCCAAATCCGTGACGATTCGTTCGTTGTTTTTTTTCGGGATTTGTGTACCACTTTTTTCAAAGCGTGAAAACCACTTGGAAGTTTGAATTTCGCAATGGTCGTTGCTCGATCGACCTCGTGTAATGAAAAATTATTATCGTCCAGCCATCGCATAACACCCATGCTCCGCTGCATCGGCATAAATATAATATAAAAAGTAAAAGAGTGGTATGACCGAGACGGAGAAACCTCTGCTCGAAGCACAGCCCGTTGGTATAAATTGTAATCGTGCACTCGCGAGTCCCTCTCGTCCTCCGTTTTTCTTTTTTTCTTTTTTTCTTTTCTCGGTGGCACGGCGGAGCTTTTGCCAAGCGACACTGTCCTAACAGCTCGAAAGCATAAATAAAACCCGTGACTCGCGACAAGCCAAGATTCACGCAACGCCCGATACGGCAAGCCAAAAATTGTTTGACCCTCGGCGCGTTCCCTTGAGAACATCTCCCTTGCTGCTCTGTTCTTCGAGCTTTAAATAATTTTCTCGGGTGCTCTTAGGTGCCATAATTTTACCCTTTTACGCTCAACCTACGCGAGGTGAGTTTAGTAACTGGGTCAAAATATTAGATAGTGCGATAAGTCCGGTTCGCGTTTCTTTTTTATAACGATATCAAATATTGCTAATTTTATTTACTCGATCGCTAATATACGTACGTGCCATTTTGTTTTTTAATCTTTCGTCGTCTTTTGGATAATTTAAGTATTTCTTTGCAACAAAACTCATCAGAGGCATCGCAAAGATAAACTTCGGATTAATTTATTACAAATTTTTTTCGCTGCACACCAACGTTCTCGTTACGACACGTTTAAACGATCTAATGGAGCCTTGCGGTGCCATTAGTGACCCGAATATGCAATTATAACATCAAAAATAGATCGCCACGATAGATCGATCGTGTGAGTTCTCTAACCAGGATCACAGGCAGCGAAATATTTCTTAACATTTTCGTTTTAAGATGGAATATGTGTGAGTCGTATCCCCTGTATCGCTTAAACCAGTTGTTTAAAAAGTTACAAAATCTTTTACTTGTACAATGTTATTTTTTTTTGTCGATTAGAGACTGTAAATTCACCGACGTTCTCATTTATTGATAATTCGACAAAATTATCGATCAAAATCGTTTTACCGATATTGAATACAGGGTGATACAGGGCCAAAATAAAGCGAACATCAAGAATACCAATTTGTTCATGGAGGCTTCGTTAATAAGTTATTAACGTTTAAAGTTCCGTCCTTACTGAATTTTTTTCTCGAAAACGCGCAAGATTTCGGGGGTATATCTATTCACCAAAAATTATTGTAATTGTACCCCCGCAACCGAAAATAATTTTTCCAAAACTATTTGAAATTTTTTTTTTCCGTCGAAAAATTTCACACCTTCCCGAATTTTTTCCTCGTAAATACGTAAGAATTTGGAGGTATGTCTAATCATCAATAATTATTGTAATCGACCTCCGCAACTAAAAATATTTTTTGTAGAACGATTTGAAATATTTTAATTTTGTCGAAAAATTTCTCACCTTCCCGAATTTTTTCCTCGTAAATGCGTAAGAATTTGGAGGTATGTCTAATCATCAAAAATGATTGTAATCGACCTCCGCAACTAAAAATATTTTTTGTAGAACGATTTGAAATATTTTAATTTTGTCGAAAAATTTCACACCTTCTCGAATTTTTTTCTAGAAACTGGGTAGGATATCGGGGGTATGTCTCTCCACCAAAAGTGATTGTAATTGACCCCAGCAACCGAAAATAATTTTTCCAAAACGATTTGAAATTTTTTTTTTCGCCGAAAAATTTGTCCACCTTCCTGAATTTTTTTCTCGAAAAGGGATAGGATTTCGGAGGTATGTGTATTCACCGAAAATGATTGTAATTGACCATCGTGACTGAAAATAATTTTTCCAGAACGATTTGAAATTTTTGAATTTAATTGTTAATAACTTTTTAACGAAGCCTCCATCAACAAATTGGTATTCTTGATTTTCGTCTTATTTTGGCCTCTAGAATCCCTCTAGAATCGTTAATATTTTTCCCAAGGGTGGCCGAACACCCTGTATACAAGATTCTTGAATTTGTTAACATTATTCACTTGGATGATTACATGGAAATTATTTACAACTTTAACTAGTCAAAGAATCGCGAATAATTCGTACTTGTCAATTCGTATGCATTTTCACACAACTAGTCTGTTTGCCTATCACACTAATTCAGTGAGTTTCTCAACTGACCGCCATCCATGAGTAGAGGGCGCTTACGATCACCTCTCAATTTTTTAGGTCGGTATGGTAGTCGGATTGGACCACGAAAGTTCATAAGGTGTAAGCTGTCTACTCGTATACGTTGTCCGTGATTATAGTCGCTAGTCTGGATATTGACCCTCGACAGAGACAAGTTTAACGACACGTAGAGAAACGGCTGGACAATTATGTCTCTTTTTTTCAGACATTAAAGCGTTTCGTTTGCGTAGCGTCGTCTTTCCGTATGGCCAAGGGCAGTCCACCGGTCGCTTGTGCGCGCTGTTTTGAATGACAATCAGCAGTCGTTTGGTATCGTTGTGTTCTCTCTACGGAGTTACACGACCTACGACGTCCCATTAATTTTCCGTGCGTACTTTTTTTACATTTCCGTGAAATTTTGTTTTTCACCTAAAAATTTGTCCACCTTTCTGAATTTTTTTCTCAAAAGTGGGTAGGATTTCGGGGGTATGTCTATTCACCAAAAATGATTGCAATTGACCCCTGCAATTGGAAATAATTTTTCCAGCACGATTTGAAATTTTTTTTTCGCTGAAAAATTTGTCCACCTTCTTGAATTTTTTTCTCGAAAATGGTTAGGATTTCATGGGTATGTCTATTCACCAAAAATGATTGTAATTGACCCCCGCAACGGAAATTAATTATTTCAGAGCGATTTGAAATTTTTCAATTTCGACGAAAAATTTGTCCACCTTCTTGAATTTTTTTCTCGAAAATGCGTAGGATTTCAAGGGTATGTCTATTGACCAAAAATAAGTGTAATTCTCCTCCGCAGGCAAAAATATTTTTTCCAGAACGATTTGAAATTTTTTAATTTTGTTGAAAAATTTGTCCACCTACTGGAATTTTTTTCTCGAAAATGGTTAGGATTTCAAGGGTATGTCTATCGACCAAAAATGATTGTAATTGACCCCCGCTACTGAAAATAATTTTTCCAGAATGATTTGAAATAATTTAATATCGCCGAAAATTATAGGCACCTTCCCCCTGTCGATTTTTTTTTTAAATTCGTTTTTGCTCTTAGTAAATTTGTTTGACGGCCTATGGAAATACTGTCTAAAGTAACTTTATAGTTTTCGTTTATATACATTGAAAGGTAAATTTGATTAAACCTTTCGAGCGTACTCTGTCCTCGTATCTCGGTTTTACGGATGATTTGCGTTTCCGTCGAGTGTATTCGAACGAATTCGAACGAATTCGAACGACACAATATATAAAGTCTTGAATCACGAAATAATATCGAGGCACCGGGAGCAAATAATAATGAGAAAATTGCGCGTCGTAACGGAAGACGAACGCGCAGTGAAACAAAGCTCTGGAAAATTCTAACGATCGTTCCGCGATGTTCTTTCGAGCATTCGGTCGAATAATTACTGCCCGGGGGACTTTTCTACGCGAATGGTGGAGCCCAGGATCGCTGAGCTCTGGGCAGAACGTAATCACCGGTGTGATTCTCGTTGTCGTCGACGTCCACCGTGAAATTTATCGCCGCCACCCCGTTGCCCACTTTCCTGTCGTGAAACTCCCGGCGATTGTAAAATACTGAGCGACGAAAACGCGACTTTCTTTGTGCGCCGCGGATAAATAAATTTGAAAGTTGCGAGCACGCCACGCGTGGAAAAACTTGTTTGCGTTGGGAAACTCGCGGACTCTCGAACGTTGTCGGTAAATAGCCGGCCATTATTCCGGCGAAAGTAGTCCGTACGATAAGATCTTCGATGTTAATTAGCGACGATAATTCCCATTCTACTTGCACTTTCGGTATTTATTTATTTATTTATTTATTTATTTATTTATGGGAAAACGTATAAATAATTTGAACCCTGTAATTTTGATGAAACAGTGTCCTGTCCTACGACTCTCTCGAATGCTTGATCCTCTGGATCCATGAACGTGCAATTCAATAAATTCTCTAACTCAAAACTTATGTACAAATCTGACTAGAAAACTATGATTGTTTGTTTCAGAAATTACTGTCATTCTTTCATCCGAAACCGACACGAGTGGACAAATCGGACAACAACAACACGAACAATTCAACGACTAATAACATCCATAATATGCCGATACACGAGCCTTCTATCAACGCCACACCTCACGAAGTGTATCGTACGTGTGAGTTCGTATTTGCCTAAACTCGAAATGGTATTCCAGAGCTGCGGGTCGGGTCGCTCTTATTCCATCGAGTACGAAAACATTCGATCGACAAAGTAAACCACGCGAACAAATTCAAAACATCGAACGAAAATTGCTGCCTTTTTTTTACCATATCAGTTGCACTTTGTTTATTTCCCAAGTTGATCGATTTGCAGTTTTCGTTTCTTAAAGCTCGAATAGAAATTTCCTAATACCGTTTTGAAGATTCAAGAGACACTTTGGTGCACTCGTATAATTTCATTTCGATGCCTGCATCGATGTCTCTGAGCGTTCCGTGTGTGTGCATTAATGCGTTCTGTTTTTTGTTTGGGGCGAACAAATTATAGCCGTGAGATTGCCTCTGACATTGCCTATGACACCTCAAGAAGCGATCAAGTATTACGGCTCGAAGTTCACAGAGTTCGAGCGCGCTGAAATCGAGAAATACTCGGAGATTTGGTATCTGGGCATGATGTCCAATAAAATTCACGGTGAGGAGGGCGCGTCCCAAAACGGTGGCTACGATGACGAAAACGGTAATTACAACAAGGTCCTCCACGATCATATCTCGTACAGGTGCGTTTTCCTTTTATCCTCGATTCTCTAGAAACTTTTTTTTACCTCTTCGATCCGCCGCGGAGTGGCTAATTTTTTTAAGCGTCTAGCCTAATAAGCCTAAAACAATTTCGATAACAACTTGTAAACAAAAATTGTCCTCTATCTCGATCGAGAGGGGGGAGTACCCAATGGTAAAAAATTGAAAATTTCGTTTCTGCTCAATTTCTTATCGCTTGAAAAATTTCGAAAGATATCTGAAACGTTTCAATTGCCCAAGCAGATTCCTGTTATCATTATTCTCAATTTTGTCGTCTTAATAAACAAAGAAAACTGAAAAATAGAAGAGAAATGAAAAATAGTGTGAAAAATCAAAGAAAATCCGTTTTCCAATGTTTCGTAACCAGCTTGAGAGATTTCTAATAAAAATTGTGGAAGACTAAGTGCTCGAACAGTATATACATAGAACACTAAAAAATCACCGAAGAAAGAGCCACGCATAAACGAGATAAACTGGGGGAAAAAGTGTGTGCGTGCGTGTGTGTGCTTTTTCCCTACGAGTTTATTGCGCTAAACGAAAAGAAGGATGTTACTTTTTGCCGATGAACGAAAAGATTGCATTTTCATAGAAGCGTAAAAATGAAATGTTCCGTGAAACTGTTGCGCGAACGTTGTTCTCGTTATGAAATCGTATCTCGCGATTCGTAATTGGAAAATTTGCTTGTCCGGTCTGTTCAGATACGAGATACTGGAGGTAATAGGAAAAGGAAGCTTCGGGCAGGTAATCAGAGCGATGGATCACAAGACGAATCAGTTCATCGCCATCAAGATCATCAGGTGAGCAAACGTGGCTGGAGACCAGTCATGAACGTGAATCACTTTCAATTACATTACGGGCGTTCAATTATAGACGCTTTGTCGCCAATCCCTCCCTGCATTTCCATCGTTGTCGTATCCGCTCGCTGGCCTGTGTATGCTTTGTTCCTTCGTTCGAATGACGCATTCTCTCGTCCTTGCAGAAACAAAAAGAGATTCCATCACCAGGCGCTCATCGAGGTGAAAATCTTGGACCACCTCAGGAAGAAAGACTTGGACGCGAACGCGTCCCACAATGTGATACACATGCTAGAATACTTCTACTTCAGGAACCACTTGTGCATCACTTTCGAGTTAATGAGGTACGCCCGGTTATACTTCGTTCCCTGCTCCAGCCCTTTCCGAATGGCCCTTTTTTCTCTTAACCGCTCCTCGTCGTTTACTTTTTCCAGTTTGAATTTATACGAGCTAATCAAAAAGAACAACTACCAGGGATTTAGTTTGAGCTTGATACGACGATTCGCTAACTCGTTGATCAGCTGCTTGAGACTGTTGTATCGAGAAAACATTATCCACTGCGATTTGAAGCCCGTAAGTATGCGAACGTACACTTCGGTTCTTTAGATATCATATTAGTTCAATGAACATTCATCATTTTACGATTTCTTTACGGTCGTTAATCGATAAAGATATTATTATTAATATATATATATATATGTATAGCTTGATAATATATAAATATCTATGATTTCATCGAATAAATAAATAAGTCATAATTTATTAACAATAAATTTTATATTTATATATTAATAAGTATTTACATTACATGCAATTATTTTAGTTAAATTCAATTGTAAAAGCGTCAGGGTTCTCCGAGCCCAGCCAGCGATCGTTAAAATTCTACTTTAAATAATCTTGTTAGAAAAATTAAAGGAGGGAGGTAACAAGTAACAGGGGTTAGTTAATAAGCAGCTCGGTTGATATCGTTTGTCTGATCTTGGCTGCGTTTCGTTGCAGGAAAACGTGCTACTGAAACAACGGGGAAGCAGCTCGATTAAGGTCATAGACTTCGGATCCTCGTGCTACAGCCACCAACGTGTATATACATACCTTCAGTCCAGGTTTTACCGAAGTCCAGAAGTACTTCTGGGTCTTCCATATGGTACGCCGATCGATATGTGGAGTTTGGGTTGCATTCTTGCCGAACTGTACACGGGTTGTCCATTGTTCCCGGGCGAGGATGAAATCGAACAGCTCGCCTGCATCATGGAAGTTCTCGGTCTGCCGCCAGAGCACATTATGAATCATGCGTCTCGTCGCAGACTTTACTTCGGTAAGATCTCAAATAATATCAAAGATAACGATCAAAACGTGTTTAACAAAAATAAAACTACATCGAACCTTCTCGTTATAGATCAGTTTGTGAATACTTTTATGATAGCAAAAATTCTTAGAAAAAATATTGATAGCACGGTCGAATAGTTCCCTGGAAAAATGAAATATCGTTTCAGATCCGAAGGGAGGTCCTCGATGCGTGACAAATAGCAAAGGCAAGCAAAGGTGGGTTGGCAGCAAGAGCCTTGGGATGGCTCTACGCTGCACCGACAAACTTTTCGTGGACTTTGTCAGCAGATGCCTCGAGTAAGTTTTCAGCGTACTCGTATATAGTTTTGAGGTGTGGAGGAATGATAAATAGCCCTAGAAACATCGGTATTGCTTACCGCGTTCCCATTCGATCATCTCCTAATCAGGACTAGTCTCTCGAAGATAGCTCACTGCTAGATAGATAACATGGAGTGAGCTAGCTAGCTAGCAAGGAGTGAACCAGCTCGATAGCTAGCAAGCAGTGAACTAGCTAACTAGCTAACAAGAAGTGAGCTAGCTAGCTAACTAGCAAGGAGTGAGCTAGCCAGCTATCTAGCCAGCTAGCAAGGAGTGAGCTATCTATTCTTGGAATTAATGAATTTCATCCATTCTTTATATTTGCACGTAACGCTAATTCCTTTCCCTTTATATTCTACCACATGTTTATGAAAAATTAAATTTCCAAAAGAAATTGTATAGATTAACACCGAAATGAAATGTAATCGAACTGTACATTTGTTTGCGGCAGGTGGGATCCAAAGGAGCGCATGACCCCCGACGAGGCGAGGCGTCACGAATGGCTGAACGCATCTTCTTCTCACGTGAGTCCCTCTTACGCGACGGTGGCCTCGTCGACGACGGTGAACTCGAACTCGAACTCTAACTCGAACTCGAACGCGAACACGAACACGAACACGACGACCGTCGAGAGCTCGTCGCAGGCTACGCACGCGCAGACGGTGAGCGTGGCGGTTAGCGCGTCGCGGCAACGAGCCATCACCGTCGAGGATCCTCCGTACCCGATCCGCACTATGCACAGAAGCCGTAGGTGTCCGCAGAGGATCAGCAGGGCCGACAATTCCGGCCTCGTGGTGAAGAGCAAGCTGAACGGTAGCGCGAGCAGTCATGCTATTTCGAGCAGCGTGCAGACCACCACCGCGAGACACGCCTCGACCGGCGATATAGTCGCGAGCCTGGACCCGAATCTCGACGATTCCGGTACGTTTTTACCGCCGATATTGTGAAGTCGGGTCTGCGCTAGCCACTTCTAGATGTTATCGCGCCGTACCGTGTCGCGATCGAACTCGCTCTCGCGCGTACAACCGGGACACCCGATAAAGAATACCCTCAAACTTTGCCCCCCCCCCCCCACTTCCGATAATCCTCGATATCGGTGCGTCTCTGTTGTTCGAGAGAGGAAACAATTCGATCGGAAGGAACAGGTCGTAAAACAGGTTTGAACACGACCGGTTGATTTGGTCACGACAATAAAGCAATAACACGGTCGTCCGTGAGCCTAAGACCAATTTAGCCCCGGTACGGAATGATTCTGATCGCGATTCGTCGACGAATCCATTCGTAAATGCACCGTTGTACCGTTCGTGCGGCAGCGTGTCCGATCCGCGCTTAGAGTGAGCGAACACACTCGTGTATTCAGGATATGCAACAATCGAGACATGTAGAATTGGCTGGCTTGATCGGCCCGATCGTTTTTCGACGACGTCAAAAGGCTAGGCAAAAGAAAAAAGATACAAAAACACACACACACACACACACACACAACACACGCAAAGAAAAAAACAAAATGTTGCTAGTCTTGGCATGCATCGAGCCATAAGGCCAAAATGATTTGACGAACGGGAGGCGCGAGCGTCCTTGCGAAAACGCCACGCGATCGTTTCGCTCGTTCGTTGGTTCGACGAACAGACGACGCGTCGCGCCGTTCCCCGATATATGTCACTCAGGTAATGGTAACGACGTGTATGCACCAATCGTAGTCGATCGAAAGTAACGTAGAGTGTTTCGTTCCCCCCGACATTCGACCCTTGTCCTCCGAGTAATAGTGAGAATTTACTTAGCTAAATGCGCTTTGCGAATCGGTATCGGGATGAAAGAACCATTCGCCGTGGATTTAGAAAGCGTAGAACCGCGCGCGGATCGTATCGGTGGTAACTTCGGCGATCCCGCGAGCGCAAACGACGCAAACGTGTGTCCGATTCGCAAATCTACGATCACTATAGGGAAAAAAATGTACGAGTAGGTTAGCGAAAAGGGTGAATGTGTTTTTAACAACGATTCCCGCGCGACACGATTCCCATCGAACCAGCATCGAATTTTGCGGTTACGTCGATGGAGAACCTGAGTCGTCTCTGAAACCCCGTAGCAAACAACAGGGTCGTGATTAATAATGAAACGTAAAGGCAACTGGATGGTACGGCTCGAGAGAAAAAAAAAGGAAAAAAAAATACAATACAAAGCGTACCCCGGTTTCACGAGGCCTGATTAGTCTTATTGTGATATTAATCTACCACTGTCTTATGTAGATCTCTCTGATATTAAGATGTAAACGATCGCTAATAATGATTTTATTACTATTAATCATTATTTTTTTTTTCTTAAATATGATTATCGCTCTCACTATTATCGCAAGATTATAATTACGATTAACGAAAGTTCTATCACGAGTATAATAACACAGAGATATAACGTATTATAATTATACAAAGTAAGGACTGTACAGACTTTAATTAAGCCGATGAAAATCCAAGAGTTTACAAGCACGCATATTCGCTTTTTTCCTTTTATCTCGATGGAAACAAATTAATCTCTATTCTCGTGGAAGATCGGCTGGAAAATTTTCCAGAACTTTTTCAACCCACTTTTGCTGCAGTTGCTGCGATTTTCCGGTCTCGTTGATTTCGCTTCTCACGGGACATTGTCGTTGATTAATTAACCGCTTTGCCCTCCTACTCGCTGTTTGTTGCTGTCAAAAGTGATATCACCTTTCTTCGCGCACCGATTACAAACAATTAGATTAAATTAACATCGAAGATTCTTGACAACCACTGCCCTTTAGTATATGCGAAGGATTTGAAGAGAAACCTTGTACCGTGTAAATTGTCACGTTACCGAAATACACGCGAACGAAGTGTTTCTGGCTCGTGTTCGGAGAAAGATCACCGATGAAAGTTCGACTCGACGAGAGATACTCCAGCTCGTAGCTATCGTAATGTCGTAGCTTGCGGTACACTCATTGTTAGCGACCTTTCCAATGTTTTAATTTGGGTTACGACTAATTCGGTTAGAGACAGACAAACCGCTTTCCGCTGTGCGATACAAGACAGAGGGCGTTCCCGTAAGTTCGTCGCTAAACCTACAAGAGACAACCACGGAAAACATATTTTTAAAGCGACGAACACCAAAACCTGTCGAAGAACACTTGCGCGTGGAGATAAAAAGTAGGAGACAAAAGATTCACGTAACAAGACTGAAAAGTATAAAACGTCATTGTAGAATTTTATTTCGAGTCTTCTCCGTAAGGACGACGACTCGTCGAAATACGTAATACCATTGTTCACGTAGTATTTGTATACGAGCACACGATTATCACTCTATGAAACGCATTTTATTAGTTTCTCGCGTTCGGTGCAATTCGATAAACGGTAGCGTTGATTTTAGTCGAACACGACGGCCTCGCGTCTTTCAGACAGACTCTCCACACGGAAACTCGATCCGTTTGTAACACGCTACGAGCAAAAGGTAATCGCTGTGCGCGTTTTGATCATCGCTGTATGCCCTCGATACGTTCCAGACACCTCGAGAAAAATGTTTGTAAAGATAAGCAACTTTTATATATGCTTGGAAGAAATTTTCTGTCGCAAGCCGAGAGCTCTTCCATTGATTAACACGAGGTTAGAAACTCGCACATTAGATACCAGAAGACAGCTTACACCATTACCCAAGAATAAGTAGTTGCATCGTCAAAAAAATAACGCAGAAAGGAATAATTGTATAAAGGAAGCATAAATAACACAGGGTGAGGTATCTAAAAAAGCACGTGAATATCTCTGTTGTTTTTCACGCGAGACAGAGTAACCGTAAAAATTATTCCTTTCTATAGAAGGAAAACAATGTAAATTTGTTCGTTCGAAGGTTTCGGTATTGCAGTGAACAATTGTTTGGCCCGATCCTTCGCCGCGTTGCATGAAAGTAAATCTTTGTAAACCTTTAAAAGTTCTTTCTAGACTCGACTTTACCCTTAATTTTCTATATATGTGTTGCAAAAGATCAAAATATATAGATTTTGCATTGTGTAAAAAAATATATCGGTGTGTAAGTAAATTATAATCTGTGTATAGTTGATATCGATTATCAGAGTGTTGAAAACGGAAAGGAAATATGTACGAGCCTGTTGACGGTATCCTGAATGACCCAGAGTTTTAAAGGAGATGTAATATTAATGTAAACATTGATTAGATAACCTCAACGAACGGTGATAGTGCACCGTATTAGCCTGAAAATGTTGAGGAATTAAGTCTATATGGCCCTTGTATTTACCACTTTCATACTTCCGATAACAACAGAGATATTTAGGTATGTTTTTTGTCCCAAGTGCCTCATCTTGCAGAAGCTATAAAGAATTCTGAAGAGTACGAAAGACGAACCCGCGCTAGAACGACTGACAAGGTAGCGTTAAGCGTCAAACAACGCCTCCACTATATACATTTTACAAATCTTTCGCGGGTTCGTGAATCGTTGATCGATTTGGTTGATTGGATAAGCGACACTAAGCGATTAACAATTCACAGGCGATAACGGCTGAGAGGGGGAGAGAGAGTGAGAGTGAGAGTGAGAGTGTGAGAGAGAGAGAGAGAGAGAGAGAGAGAGAGAGAAAGAGCTGTCCACAAAAGAACTTCATTTAACGAGTGTAGTGTCTAAGGCAACACACAGATTTATAGCGAACAAGAATATCAAATCGTGTATGATAACTAACATTAACAACGTGTGTGCGCGTCTGGATGCGTGAGTGTGACTGGAGCGAACGAAGAGAGAAACAAGAAATGGAATACGAAGGAAAAACATACGGGGAGAATGCGTTACATTACTATATATATATATATATATACACACATATATACATATACGATTTTACGTATTAAGAAGAAACTCACGCAAAAGCGACAAAAAACGAGTTAAATATAGGTTATCCGTTTAGAAATAAATAGCGAAAAAGTTCGTTCGAACAATGTGTTAGCTCCGGTATATAGAGCCCCGTTCCTCCTTTGCCCCCTCTCCCTGGTAATGTTTTAATGCACAGTCGTGTCGATCGAATCGTTTGCAACAAAAATTAACGCGCAACAGAGGTTATCTCGGTGGGCATGCCAATCCTTTAGCTTATTCACCGCGCGTGGACGACGACTATTCGGTTGCGATTGCCTCCATCTTGTACGCGATGTATATTCAGCGATCAGAGTTACAAAATTTCGAAGCGTCACGTCCTCAAATGGACGAGCAACTAATCAAGCAGCGCGTGTGCCGAGCAAAAACTAAACCATCTATTCTTCGCGTCCGTTTTTGCGCAAACGGTTTCATTAAGTCGACTGGAACACGCTTTGGCGCAAAAAATTTACGAACGTGTAAAAAAAAACGTGGTGAAATCGAGTAGAGGAAAGACCTCTAGCGGCCTCTTGTCACGTTTTTTTTTCGTCATTACGAATCATTTACGCCAATTGTATAGTCCTTGAATTTGTAGTTGTATTCACTATCGTATACAGTGGGATCAAATTACATGCATTAGGATCGGCTAAATCTACGTAAACTAACCACGTTGTGAGAAAAAAATAATAAAAATATTCGTGTATACTTTCTTGAAATGAGAAACAGCGAAACGAGTAGGAAGAGATACTCGAACTTGAATAACGAAACGGCACGACGAGTGAAAGTTCGTATTAAATTCAATTACATTTGGAGAAGATCGTCGTTGTCGTGATTTGGTCGGAATTAATGTGGACGAAAACCACAGTCACTTTCTACTGCGGTATTGTCGCGAAAAAAAAGGAGATGACAGTCTAAAAAGGTCTAAATTTGTACGAGAGAAGGGAAGATTCATTCTCAAGCTTCAGCGTGGAATGCTGTTAGCGTATATCTGTTAGAACAGCGTCCGACTAGTTATCGAGTTAACAACGTGATTAGATCTATCGAGTTCAATTAGATAATAACTGTGCATACATGGTGAGACTGTTGTCATCCCGCGACCGTCCCTTTTCCCCCTCCCCTTTTGACGCGAGATTGATCCGTAGTATCATATCGATCTATCAAGCGGTTATAACGATCGATCGTTTTTAAAGTACCCTCGATAAAACGATCACTAGCAAGGGTTTTACGTTAGCATGTCGTCAAAAATGATTCTAGTTCTTTAAACGTTTTTAGAGCATGAATACGAGCAGCGAGTTTCATTCTTCTTTGCGAAAAATCAATTTGGTTCACAGTGTTCCACGCTGCTGCCGAACGAGAGATTGTAACTGAATTTGTAAACTTCTCTATCGTATGTTTTTTATCATTATCGAATTCTATTGGACTTCATGTTATTAATATACATAGATCATACTCTATGAATATAGAAACACGTACAAGATGTAACAATAAATATATCTTTGGAAATTAACGAAGTATTTTGCATGTTTAAATTAAAATTGATGGCGTAAATTCTAATTGTAATTTCATTAGGAATCTATTAGTGTATTACTTTGAAGTATATTCATAGAAAATCGATATATCCCAGATTTTATTCGTTGCATCGTAACAAGCTTTGCAAAATGTTAATGAGTATGAATAAAAACTGGGAGGGGGAAAGGATATACATATATACACACAGAGAAAAATATAGGAAGGTGTGCGAGAAAGAGAGAGAGAGAGAGAGAATGAGAGCGAGAGAGCAGGAGTTGATACAATGATTTGTACTCGGCGTTGAACAGGGAAGACCTTGTTATATCGTATAAGTGCGAGTTCGTCAATTTCTGCCCAACTTAATTATAGTGAACGAAGAAAAGAATTGCTAATAATAAATGATTATGATAATGACATTAGTATATGTAACGATACAATACTGAAGCATCATCATCTTTTGTATCATTTGTTCGTTTGTTTTTATCTTACTGCGTTTGTCTTTCATTATTAATGCAATACCAAGATGACTCGGTTTCGACATGGTATCTTGTGTGTAAATATATACTAATAAAAAATACAAATATAAGAACAATGTTCGATCAATTAACCATCGCTCAAGTTAAATTACTTTGAATAAAATCATTCTCCTTTACATCACGTATGTTCTGTCGTTCGTCAAAATTAGGAAAATAACATTATAGTTTACGATCATTCAGGTAGGTACGATGTTGACTATTTAAATGGTTTATTTGATGTATTGATATTAAATACATGATCTATCTAGTGTGAAAATGTGACACACTAAACGTAACGAGAAGTACAAATCATTTATCTCTATTTCTATTATCATTTGAACCTTATTTCAACAACAGAATTTGAGAAATTCAATTCTAAACAGTTTTCGTAAGAAGAATACAAAAACGATAAGTAGAAAATTATTTCACAGAAAGATATAATGTTTTACAAAGATTTTTCAACCGATAGAAGGCACAAGATGTAATGTTACAAACCGCAGAAACGTAATAAACATTATTTAGTAACATGCATTGTTTGGTATTTTGTGTGAATTTGTGTTCTATTAGGATATGCATACTACAGACACAAATTACTAATGGAGTATTAGTAAATGATTTAAATGGTTGTTGGAGATCCTTGCATGCACGAGAATAAACACAGATGTATACATATGCTAATTTGCATTTGATTATTTGAAATCTTGACTATCGTAGAATTTAGAATATTCTTCTCCCAATGCTACCTCCTTCGCTCTCCTTTCTGTGTTTTTCGTTTCTCCTTTTTCTCTTCTTTTAATTGTTTTTGTTTCTCTCTGAATAAAAAAATACATTTATTAAGACTAATCTGTCTGTAAGTACGGTATACGTATAAAGTTTGTAAACATACCTATCTTCTTTATCTTTCTCCTTTTTCTTCTGGCTTTCTAATTTAGCCTTCTCCCTCTTTTCTCTCTCCTGTTGCACTATCGTGGCAGCATTCGTATTCTTCTCGATTCCACAATCTCCTTTGCTTACGCTTTCCTCTTCACCGTCACCTTCACTGTGATCTTCCTCCGCTGTCTGACTATATTGTGCAAGAATGGCCTCCCTTATTCGCCTTTCCTCTTCCGTATAACTCCTTTGCGTCGTAGTCGGAAGAGATTGGGACTCCAACATTCGTGCTAGTCTAACATCCACATCTTCCACCGGTTCCTTCGAAGTTGCATTTTCTTCAATAGGTAACCATTTAGCCCAGGCGCTCAAAATTTCTGACACGTGTTTACTAATGTTATCATCCTAAAAATCGATAGGACCAAAAGTCACAATCTTCAAATAGAAGATATTGTTCGTAGAATTGTATATTACATAGCATTGCTGCATTATATTAGGATGTTAAACAATACGACGAACGTGACAACAGCTGAGCAGGCATGCACCGAAAATGAGACGTATAATGTGCCAAGTTTGAAGAGACACAATGCCAGTCGACGATAGAAAGAATAGTAATAGCTTCGTCTGTTATTTTTGACCGGCTGATTAACTTCGTCTACGAATACCAAGCACATTCTAACCTCACAATCCGTGTGCTTCTCACCGTTATGCCCGCGAGTATGCCTTCAAGGGCTTCGGTCTTCTCATCTTCCGATTCATCACCCTCTAAAACTCCTTTGATGTACGATCCAAACACACCTTCGTCGGTATTTAAAGCTTGAAGTTTCGTACTGAGCCAGCTATCGAAAGAGTTTATCGCGAGCGCCATGTTCAGTTTTTTCAGTTTTTTGAGCCTGCGTTGGTAACACGCTTCGAAGCCTCTCAAATTTTGGTCCTAAATTTTTGGAACTCAAAATGCTTCCCCTGCGATGTTACCAGACCGGGCACTAGGTGCACCGGGAACCAGAGATACCAGATTCAGCACCCGGTGCACTGCTCACACATGTCACAAAGTCGACAAAGGCAAATTGTCTCGTGGGAGTCGAGACAGAAAGGCTGACATTTGCCTTCTCGCTCTAAAGAACTGAAATCCAACCTCCCGTCAACGGCAGTCAGATTGATTGGATCATTAAAGTCCATAAGATGACCGGTCTATTCGTATACCTCGTGTGTATTTCGCATAGCATCAAAAGAAAAACGGTAGCTTGGAATGTTTACTGTATTTCTTTTACAATCGTGATTCCTACCTGGGGTAACCTCGACGAGAATTTTTTTCTCGAAAATGCGTAGGATTTCAAGCATATGTCTATTACCAAAAATGATTCTAATTGACCCCCTGCAACCGAAAATAATTTTTCCAGAACGATTAATATTCTTTTAATATTTTTAAAAAGGTTCCAATTGACCGACACTCCAAATTTACGATCCAAAATGCACAACTGCATTAATGTGTGTTTTATTAGGTATTGCAACATATTGTTTTACGATTTTAGTGACGCAGTTTACGTATCTTCGTTAGAATCCTGTATAATTTACTGATAAGAAATGAACGATGGAAACTTATACAAAAGAAATTATCGTATGAAGGACAGAAGATCGAAGAAATGTATACGTGATGTACGACCTTGGTTCTCGACAGAAATTCAAAGAAACTTTCAGTCTCCTCGAATTTCTCCATATTTTCATATCTATTCTTTGCAATAATTATTAATTAACATCAGGCAATAGTTAAAATAATACTCGATAGCGTGGATTGTATAAATAATTGTTTTAATACCATTTTGCGTAGAATATTTATTTTTCGGTCAAAGGCACGGTTAACCGTTAATTGGTTGGTGAACTCGCCAAGGACGGTCATCCCCACCCCTTTAATTCTTCTGCCTCGCGGCTACCTGCCGGTGACTCTCTCACTCTCTCTTTCTTTCTCGGCGCTGGCGGACGTGACGGACCCTCGTGGGTCCGCGCTCCACCTTTACTCACCACTACTGACCACTGGTCGAACACTGGTCAACTTTGCTGATCAGTACTGACCAATATTGACCATTAGTGACCAGTAATGAGCGAGTTCTGTCTCTCTCTTTCTATTTTCCTTTTCGACCTTCGAGCGTCCGTTGGGCTTGAACGTGGGGTTTCATCTTACTTTTATTTCTTTGGTCTCCTTCCATATTTCAATACTTGTTCCTTCCTTGTTTGGTTTGTTCGATGCACATTCTATATTGCATGTACAAATCTGTTTCATCGACCACTATCGACACAGTGGTAAATGAATGATATCTCAATCTCTAATTTCTCACTTGTTTTTCGACATTCAAATGTCTGCTGGGCTTGAATCTATCGTTTTCATTTCTCTGGATTCCTTACATATTTTACTTCTGGCTCCTTGTTCGTTCCCGTATTTTATTCTTGTCTTAAATGTTGCTTATTGTATACATTGTGGTTTTGTCCATGTCTATTTTACGTCACTGGTTTCTCTGGGTCCATTTATTTTATTTCAGGGCTTTGTGTTTACCAATTCATTATATTTAATTGTTTAACTAATCGTAAATGCTGCCTTTTTTAGTTTTTTTTCAGATTACTTACAGGCCTCTATTATCTTGGGACATCGAGGGACTTTTATTTCCAAGTTAAATTTATTTTTAAGGCCGCGATACCAAGCAATTATTAACTTAGCTTACCGTTCACTCGTTCTCTCGTTTCTTGCTCCGATCCGAAGATTTGCTGCACGGTTCAGCATCGCGTCGCGTATCCCATAATTTAGCTTCACCCATTTTTAAACAAAATAATTGCTTGGTAAAATTAGATATAAGCATCGACGACTCCCTTGTATGCGTCCGCGTATGTGCCAAGTAATTCTTTTACCAACTAGCTTCTCGTTCACCCGTTCTCCCGTTTCTCGTTCCGGTCACCACTGCTTTGATGTAGAAAGCAAGTGATCGGCCGTTTAGCTGGTCCGAAGGGTCAGTTGCCGCCCTCTGGCGAGACGATCCAAAGGAAAGGGTACTTCGGCCGCAGAGGGGATCAGGGACTGTTCCTGTCTGCGGTAGCCCCGACACACGCTCCCTCTCTCAGTCAGCCGTCTCGAGTTGGGTCCATCTGGCTCCCAACAGGATGCGTGGGAGAAATGGGGAACCACTGGGTCGGGTGCGTCGATTCCCTTCCCCTTCGATTGGACTTGCCAAGAGGCAACGGAGCTGAGTCTTTTGACCAGTTACTCGGTTCGCGTGTCGCGTATCTCGTTCCTTGCGTCGATCACTGCTGATCGACGTCGCGTCGTATCGCGTCACGCGTATCCCACGATATAGCTTCATCCCTTTTTAAACGAAAGAATTACTTGGTACAACTAAACTAGAAGATCGAAGGAACATTGCTTCCTTCTATCTCTCTAGTTTAGTAATCTAGCTTGTAGGAATGTAAAAGGGAGATCGATGGAACTTTGATTCCATCTATCTCCCTTCGGGTCTCCACTCGCAGCAACCTCCACGTGGTGAGACCTGGGTAATATTATTTACCGTTTAATTAATAATCGTATCGCTCTTAGCCGGGTAATGCAATTATTAATTAAAAACTAAATAATATTAGCAAATTGGCTGCGATCCGCTTTGCATAGATCATCATAAATATAGAGCTTCTTCGCTAGGTTAGTTTTGATTCTCGTTGATTCATCAAAGATTCTAAAGTATTGTCAGAGATCAGGTATACCCAATTTATTTTTTCGGCTCATTTTTATGGGGTCTCGAAACAGCATTATCATTTTCGTATCATTCGCAACGTTACCAACAGATTCAGAAATGAATTTTAATCCCTTTCATAGTCAACTCACATGTATTTACGCACACACTACAGCTGTTTGCCTATCAATACTAATTCAGTGAATAGTTTATCAGTTGATCGCCATCCGTGAGAAGAGGTCGCTATAATCATCTCACAGTGGAGCACAAAAGTCTATAAGGTGTACGTAGGTCTTACTCGTATATTTTGTCCGTGCTCGTATTCCTCGTTTGTGATACCGCGTGTAACATAACCGACAATGTCTTGCAATAGATTGCAATACTATACGTGGCAGGAATTGAAACTTAATACATCCCGATAGATGGTATTGATCTTATAACTGATGGGTGTACCATTGAATATGTTTAGATCGGAGTACAAACTTTTTTTGGAAACAAAAACTTACTACGAAATAGTTTTTTACGTTTAACTACGAATTTAATATTGAATTCGATTGACCAGTCACTTGATCTGAGACTAGTGTTTGTAGTAGACTGATTATATCGAGTGTTTAATTATGATTTCGACGAAAAATGAGAACCAACGGTCTGGTGTATTGTTGCCGGTTTTCCTTACTGCCTGTGCAATTCCAATTTCTATGCTCTTTTGGACCATAAATGTGATTTATTCAACATTATATTCAGATACTGAGAACCACTTTGAAGGTACGTTGGCAGATTAATCGTAATTTATTTCTTCACTACTTATTCGGTATATTACGTGAACTGTTTTGGAAGACATAACCTTTTTCTTTTAGAGCATTTGGTGATATCACCATGGAGATGGTTGGCTGCAGTTGTGATTCCCATGTTCATGTCGTTTTGGGGTTTCAGAAAGAAAAGCTTGGACATCAGTGGTGCTATACTTGGTAATAAAATGCTTTCTCTACATTGTAGAGAACAAATATGTATTATATAAAGTCGATTAGGATGATTATTAGTCGTTGGTACAACTCAGATAAAAATGATTGTATAAATACTTTGTTCGTAATCTGATACAATGAGACGGACATATCGAAAAGTAAAAAAGTAAATTGCAAAATATTTACTAAAATATATTGTATTATTTTGAAAAGAGGTACGCAATGATTACTCTCTGTAGGATTTAAAATCAAGACGTTCGATACGTTTTGAAGAAGCTGTTGGATGTTTTGTTACAGGAATGTTCATGGGTTTTATTCTGACACTAACAAGTTACGCTCACGTGGCTTGTCTCTTTGCATTCTTTGTTACCTCTTCCAAAGCGACAAAGTTTCGGTCCGCTCAAAAGAAAAAATTTGAACTCGATTATAAGGAGGGTGGTCAAAGAAATTGGATTCAAGTATTATGCAATGGCGGTATGGCAACGCAATTGGCAATTTTATACTTAGTGGATATAGGATGCACAGAACTACCTATTGATTTCAATCAGAATTATAGGGGTTCCTGGTTGTCGGTAGGAATTTTAGGTACATTCAAAGTGGATGATAATCCATATTCTATTGCGCAGACAAGATTGTCAGGATTTCGAAAATAACTTAGCGAAACAGCATCTTAATCTTTTATAATTACTATAATTTAGGAGCTTTTGCATGTTGTAACGGCGATACATGGGCTTCGGAAATTGGATCGGTTCTTAGTAGTGGAAATCCCATTTTAATTACCACAAGGAAAAGAGTACCAAGAGGTAAAGATAGAAAAAATTATGATTATAAAGGTGTGGGGTCCATTGCTTCCCGTACTCGCCGCTAGAAGGACCGTTCCTCTCGCAAGCACTTGACCAATCGTCCGTCTGAATATCCATATACTCCCAATATCCCGGCATCTAAGGCAGGGGCTGTTGGGTTGCCTTACCGACGAGTCCTTTCCTACCATCTAATCCACAGGACCCCCAAAAAGCTGTGTGTCTGTCTAAGATTGTAACGTGTTATGCATTTTTGTGTATAGGAACAAATGGTGGTGTCTCTTGGGTAGGTCTTCTTGTTTCTGCGCTTGGAGGTATAACAGTGGGTTTGTTTTATTACTTAACCATACTATACACTGTAGATACAGCTATGATTCAATTAGCTGCACCACAGTGGCCTGTTATCATTGTTGGAGGAATTGGAGGTTTATTTGGTAGTATCTTAGATTCTATTCTAGGGGCTACTTTACAATATTCTGGTAAATTGGTGTTTTCTTACGTTGAAAAAATGCACTTTGCGTCGTATAATAAAATTTATCATTATAGGAATGGACGAGAATGGTATTGTAGTAGAACATCCCGGGAAAGGAGTAAAATATATTTGTGGTAGACAAATTTTAGATAATCACAGTGTCAATCTTTTGTCGAGTATCGGGATTGGTTTCACTTTACCGAAAATAGCAAACTTAATTTGGCCTTAGAAATATATACCTCATTAAAATCAATATTTAATCAAATATATGTATAAATAAGTATTTATTGTATTTTACTTAATTGAATCCAATGGAATGGTAGTGTTTAATTATTTAAAAGTTTAATTAGATCTATAAATTTTTTGATGTACTTCATTAAATATGTATTTATATGTATAGTATATAAGATGGGATTGGTTTGGAGTATCCAAGTATATGGAAACAGAATCACTTTTCTTTAGTATGTGTATATAACTTAGATTAAAGTTTAAACCACATATAATTATTTTTACAATACATATTTTGTTATGCACACAAGAATAAAGAATAAAAAGAATTGCTGTTTTTCGTGTTAAATCCTTCGTCGGCATGGAAACGACAATTTGTGCAAATAAAGCATTTAATCAGTGGGCAGAGGGTAATTAATTTTATTACTGGTCTGAACTGTAAATCTTTATGTATTAGAAGTATTTATACATTTTCTTACATGTTTAGCTATATCCGCGCGTACAGCATTGTTACGGTAAATATTTTCTACAAAACCAGTATTTTGTATAAAAATTATGTGACGCCATTGATATGATGAATTGCATTAATTGTTTTTTTCTCACCTAATAAAAGCTATGCTTTCCCAAAAAACTTATTTAAAAGGAATATTGAATCAAAGAAAAATAAGATTGCTCTGGTCAATCATATAATTTTAATTCTCTTTTTCATTCCTTTTTCAAATTCAATGGAAACAAATTTTTGAAACACAAAATAATGGAATTATCTGATAGTTTTTTTTTATCGAGTCAAAATTAATATTTATTCTTATCAAACTTTTATTAAGTTAAATACTTGCAAAAGAATACAACTTGAATGATTCATGTTATGTGATGAGAGAAATGTATGTACATATGTAGAAGACCAGTTAAAAAATACATGTCAGTAATTAAGGGGTTGGAGTCTCGAATCAAATAACCTTCAAAACGATTCGAATCACTATGGTCTTGAATATTTTTAATCTTTTACAACACTCGTATTCAAACGTTCATTATTTACGTACACTCGAAAATTTCTCTACAAGGGTTTTTAAAATAGTAACTCGGAATATTTATTTCAGCAATTCCGAAATAGTGATACAATATACCGGTCATATAAGAATGTTTCTCATTTTCATTTACCCCTTTACATCCCCGTGACATGCATTTTTGAGACAATATGTACATTATCTGGTTTTCATATTATTTATACCATGACCATATACAGAATGTTTGGCCAGTCCTGGGAAAAATTTTAACGGGAGATTCTAGAGGCCAAAATAAGACGAAAATCAAGAATACTAATTTGTTGACGGAGGTTTCGTTAAAAAGTTATTAACGTTTAAAGTTCCGCCCGTATCGAATTTTTTTCTAAAAAGTGGGTAGAATTTCGGGGGTATGTCTATTGACCAAAAATTATTGTAATTGACCCCTGCAACCGAAAATAATTTTTCCAGAACGATTTGAAATTTTTTAATTTTGTAGAAAAATTTCACACTTCGAATTTTTTCCTTGAAAGTGAGTAGGATTTCGAGGGTATGTCTGATGAACAAAAATGATTGTAATTTACCCCTGCAATCGAAAATAATTTTTCCAGAGTGATTTGAAACTATTCAATTTCGCTGAAAAATTTAGGCACCCTACTACACCTGTCGATTTTTCTTAAACATTCGTTTTTCATTTTTAATAATTTTGCTTGACGCTCTAGAGAAAAGTTGTCTAATACTTTTTTGTAGGTACCCATGAGCTCTACTTCAGAAAAAAGTTTCATTGAATTATATTCACTATTGAAGGAGTTATGGCTATTTGAAAATTGGACCACTTTTAGGGGGGGTTTTTCCTCATTTTACGGGGTTAAAGAACAACTTTTTGAATATTTTTAGAATTTCTACATATTCCTCACCAAAATACGCGTTGTTTGCGGGTTGAAACATTAAAATCCTTCAATCCGTTCAGGAGTTATGATATTTTAAAAATACTTATGAAATTTCAGGGGAACATATCAATGGTATGGTCAGACATTTCGGTAAAGAATTTTTTCCTCCTAAGTGCGTAGGCTTTCGTGGGTATGTCTATTCACCAAAAATGATTGTCATTGTCCCCCGCAACCGAGAATAATTTTTTCAGAATGATTTGAAATTTTTTAATTTAATGTTTTAATACCTTCTTAACAAAGCCTCCATCATCAAATTGGTATTCTTGATTTTCCTCTTATTTGGCCACTAGAATCTCCCATTAAAATTTTTCCCAGGGTTGGTCTAACATTCTGTATGTATAAATTAAGAATCGTTGCACACCTTAACTCAGTATGAAAGTTCGTTTACGTAAGTACCAATTAACAGTCGTTATTTTCTTGGGGGTGGTATGCGTTTTGCGAGAAATTATTCCAATCAAATATTACGAGAAAAAATATGAAAATTGTTGTAAGTTATAACAGACTTTTTTCACGAATTAACCTCTTAGCCACGGCTGAATTTTGCGCGCGACTTTCTCTGTACGGCAGAGTGAGCAAACTGTGAATTTAGCGCCACTGTAGTGGCGCGTCGTTCAAAAAGATGGCATCCGCGAAAGAAAATCCCTCGTGCCCAAGAGGTTAATAAACTATCTTTCGTTTCGGTAAATTCTAATTCTATAAACCTGAACAATGATCGTTAATATTTAATTGAACAATGAGATGCATACAGTGTATGGACTGGGAGATAATATTCTTTATTCTCTGTTTTCGTTTGTTTAAACGCTACCCCAAAAATATTCGAGGGTCCCAAGAAAACTTATTTCTAAATTGAAATCATATTTATTTTTATTCATTCCTAAGACTCTATTAAAATATTCAAATAACTCTTGTTCCATTCTCTCAAAATTAAGCTTCTCGGAAACACGGATGAAAACATTAATCGTCTTGTATTTTTTTTTTGGAAATACATTTGTAAGTTATCGTACTCGTTGTCTTATAGCTATCGTAATATTTTCACAATCTGTTATTGACTAATACGCAAACTCGGTATCATCGTCCTCGTGTTTTTGTTCTAATTGGTTGTTATTTTTAAATAAATTAAAAAATTCCAAAACCACGACCAAACTGAAAATAAACTCTCCAGCTAAAAAAATCATCTTTTTACGGTATTCGATCGCCAATGTTTTCAATCACCGTTCAATCGTTTCACGGGTCAAGTACGATCACTCTCACCGGGAACCATCAACACTGCGTTTGTTCGTAGCTGTTGAGAGAGTCATTGATTTCGACGAACAGTTAAGCGTGATTGTTGAGATTATTGGTGACCCGACGAGCGGCGACCAGTTGCTCGGATTGTTGTCTGTCTACGGGCTTTAGGTCCAGTTGTTCCATCGTGGTCGACTGGTAGTCACACCTTCTCCTCTCCCGCCATCGGACCTGCGGTCGAGCGGATAAACTGAAACAGTCAACGTCCCACAATGGACTTGACTCGGGCACGTTGTCACTGGCACGACACGGACAAATTTCTCTCTCTCTCGCTCCCTACATTCGCTAGAATGTTAGTAGTTCGTTCTAGTAGTAAACAGGTCGATCATGTTAGTAATTAGTTTCGATTAGTTGGACTTGTTCGGTCCGTATCGCACCATTGACCAGGCCCCGTCAGAAGCTGGGCCTCGCGCTTACAGGGGCCTTAAATTCACAAAAAAAAGATAATTAATTCATTTTGACGATCTCGTAATCTATACTAATAAATTTGACGCGAAGAGAAATATCGTTTCGTACGAATTTAGTTGCAATTTTATCGATATATTGAAAATTTTCCAAACGGTTTACGTCGAAAGCTAAATGATATTTTATTTTCATTTCGCGACGCGATACGGGAGTATAATAAAATTTTTAACAGCGTATCAGAGAGTCATATGCATTGTATATCAAGGCTGCCGTAAATCAATCATGCAATATGAACGGAAATATTACTGCGCGGTCGTGCGAACATTTATAATGGTCCGTTTGTTCTGTGGGTTCCATTTCGTTCGCACGAGTCCGGTGAATTTTGGAAATATATGGGAAGACATTTATACCGTGCACTCGACGGAGCAAAAATATAATCGAAACAATGATTTGTTTTACGCGATTCAAAAGGATCTTATACACACATATACAGGATGTTCGACCACTTCTGAAAAAAATTTTAATTTTAATTTTAGATTCTAGAGGGCAAAATAAGACGAAAATCAAGAATACCAATTTCTTGATCGAGACTTCCTTAAAAAGTTATTAACGTTTAAAGTTACGCTCGTAGAACGGCAATCTGCACACTTTAACTTTAAACGTTAATAACTTTTTAACGAAGCCTCGATCAACAAATTGGTATTCTTGATTTTTGTCTTATTTTACCCTCTAGAATCTCCCATTAAAGTTTTTCCCAGGGGTGGCTGAACAGCCTGTATAGTTTTTTTTAGAGTAGTTACTTAAAAAATGTTTAATAACGTTTCAAGGAAGATTAGAAAACCAGTAAAGAATCGACGAAAGTGAGAAAATTATAAACTAGGTATTCTTTGTATTTTTAACCGTTGTTCGATGATTCGTTCTAATTGTCGAGATTTAAGATTCGAATGATTCTCGCGTTTGGTATCGCTAACGAACCCGATGAAACATTTATGCGTACCGTAAGCCGAGTCGATGTAACGTGAATATTTATGAGAACGGATTCACGATAAAAGGATACGGGACGCAGTAGGAATGGAAGACGATATGAACGTGTAAATGATGTTTCATTAAGGCGTTTTCATTTCTACGGGACCGTGAATGCTGAATGTCTTGTGAGTTTGCCGTACCGAGACCGTCGTGGCTGTGCAAGAATTGGCCCGATTTCGTAGAAGCGCCGTGCCCTCCCATTTCCTCTTGAATTGCGCTATCACCTGGCGGGATGAACAACGTTTTATTAATGAAAATGTCCCGTTCGTTGCACTTTCGTTAATTAGAAACGCCGCGACGGGCGAGCGTCCGTTTCACTTACCTCACCGTTGCAGAAACAGAACAATATGGCGACGCAGAGACCCTGTAAAAACAACACTCGTCGGGGATCGTACAAAATATTCTCCTTATTTACCAAACAATTTTTTTTATAACCAAACTCGTTAACGCGTCTTAATTGCAATTTATCGAAGTTGCGGTTAATTTTCCATCGAGAGTATCCGCTTATTTACCTGAAACGAGGCCGTTATTGCGGAGAGAACCTCGTAAAATTGTTCCCAGGGGTGGTTTTTCGGTGGTCTGAACGGGGTTACCAGATAATGTAGACCCAAAAGCGGCACGAGAAGCAACGTTGCTCTAACAAAGCGTAAAAACGATTAGCTGGAACGATTCGAACGAGCAGATTCGCAAAATACTAATAGTTGCAAGTAATATTTGAAAGTGATAGCTTGGACTTTTTCATTCTTTGCTCCTGGCGTTGGTGGTAAATTTAGAAAGGCTTGGAATAGAACAGTCTTTGAAAGTAAAATACAAGAACGTATAGCATTACTTTTTCTTCTAGTTTAAAGAAGTTATATTCATTGTTTCTTGTATTTTCCTGGTGATGAGTGTGTGTGAAGTTTAAATTAGTAAATGTAAAGTATTATTTTGAACAGCAACTAACAGTGAAAGGGAATTCGTGAAAGAATTAAATATACACTGCTCCAAAGAATAAGGGGGTTGTCTACTCACTCTACTTTATCTACTCGAGAAGCAAAAATTTCAAGTTTCTTAATAAAAAAACATTGCAACGTGCTACAGGAGATACAATAAAAATCTAGTTACATTAAATATACAATCAATGGTTATTGCGATTATTATTTAATATCGACTGATACTTTTGATTTTTAGTATCTAGTCGTAGCCAAGCATTCTTCGAACGTAATGTAATTAGAATTTTACTGATGATAATATGTAGAAACTGTAAAATTGGAAAATAATATGTTTATCAATGGAAAATTAAACGAAACGGCACAGTGGTATCGTGAAAAGGATAGACAAACTACGATCTAAATAAATTGTACGTACATTTCTATATGCAGTTGGAACAAGATTGTGCAATGTTAATAATTTTCACGTTCCAAGCGAGACAGATTTATTGAAACGTGAAGCCAAAGTAAAAGACATTCTAACGCAAGAGAAACACAATGAAATATACTTCTTTCGCCTCTGGTGTTTCGTTCATTCTCCTAAATTCTCCAACATTCTTCGTCCCCTAATAATTTCGAGCAGTGTAATAACAGATGAAACGTAACGTGAGAAAATCGAATTGCTGTCGACTGTAAACGGTATAAAGTAGAATCGTTTGATTAGTTACCGAAATGCCTGTCGTATGGATCTCGAGGGTTGTGTGCCGATCGTAGGTCCCGCCCTCAGTTTCATCAACAGCACCCTCACGATGTTGAAGAGGAACAATAGATTCAAAAGCATGGAGACGCAGACCGGATAGATCAGCACGCTCATGTAATTGCCTTCGTTGATCCAACACCTGCGATCATTATCAACGCGACTGGGTTGGTCGAACGATTAACTTTATCTCGTTGCACGGAAATATCGAAGATAGAGATCAGAAGATTCCTGTTGTTAATTTTCCTCTAACGAGTTTGCAAAGGTCAGGGCAAACTGGAAATAAATTCGTGCATCATGGGCCATTGTATTATAATATATTCATTCAACGCGGTGCATGCTTTTAACTTGAAGATATAAAAATGTGTAAAATAATGGCGACGATTCCAAATCTCATCGTTATAAAATTTCTTGTTTCTCTCGCAAGCGCTCGACCCCACCTTCCATTGATACAAGCAGGGCCTGCTAGAGTTGACTCAGAGATGAGTCCCATTCTAGCAGGCCCCAAGACATTCTGTGTAAACTTTTAGAGGAAAACAAGGACAACAGGAATCGACGAGGACCTCCACGTTGCGTTATAGTCGATTTCAGGGATCAATAACTCTGGAGTGGGCCAGCAACGCGAGCTGGTGCACGGAAATCGCGATGCTCATTAATTTGCTCGGACAGAATCTCTTTGTTCATTAGGGATTTTGAGAGTGAACTGTCCTCGGGGCAAGTGCGATGGTAATCCAATTGCCTTGGTTTTGATCCTGCGGTCCGCGCACGTTTTGCTTTCACGGACCCGATGATATCAGAGAATGGTATTCCCTGGTATCACCGTCTGCACGACTTGGATGCATCCGTTTGCTATCAACCGACGCAATAGGAAATTAACGCGACGCGGTCGCTTGACATGGCGCGACCCCGGATATCACGGTTTTCTGCTCCCTTTCGATTCGTCCACGTTAATGCACGAGTCTGGTTAATTTTCGTGATCGACACCCGGCCGTGGAGCGAAGCAAATATACATAGCGATCTGCTTAAAATAAAACCAAGTGGTGTTCGAAACCTCTCGCGAACTCAAGGGGACCAGATCGAGCCATTTTGTAGGAGCTATTTAAAAGAAAAATGATAATTTCCTTTTTATACGATATTTTGGTAGCCTAAAATCTATACGGATACAAATTTTTTATTATAAAATCTTGTCAAACAACCATGTAGCGAGCACTTAAACAAATACAAATTTCTCTACTCCAACACGAGCGGTATTTTCACGAATTTTTTTACAGGAAATGTGTTCGTTTGATTGAAACGACCTGTTTACAATCTACGAACCATACATTGAATTTTTTGAAACAATTTTTTTTGGACGTTTACCTTTATTTATAACGAAGAAAATGGCAAAAAACCGTTCGACTGAATTTAATTTTGGTATAGATATTCTCAATAATATGCGGTTTTTTGGAATTTCAAAAAAATTATAAAAATTATAGCAGTTAAAAAGAGAATGATAAACTTCCACGAATATAGAAATATTGTATTGTCAAGAAAAAGAGTAAATCCGTGTTATGAATTTCGTAATATAGCAGAGTCCGTTAAACGCCCAACTTTGTATTTAATTATGCTTTACGCCCATTTGTCAGTCTTCACGAGGTATCGTTATGGGAAGTTTGGTCGTTCGTCATCGTTCACAGTGTAACGACGTCACGCGTTGATGTCGAGTGGAAGTCCGTTTAATTTCAATCAGTGCAAATTCGTGAAACAAATGGTTTACGGAACATCGTCAGTTTGCATTTACCTGCAACCACCGATGAAGTCGTTGTTTGTTAGCTTCTTATTAAAAAATTATTTTCTTGGCTACAGAATCTTATCAGTTGGACGATGATATTTGTAAATAAACTTTTTAGATTATTTCAAATAATTTCTTTATACTTTTTGGACTTTCTATATCGAATTGGCGTTGGTTTTACTCGTATTGGATTTACCTGCAACCACCGATAAAGTCGTTGTTTGTTAGCTTCTTATTAAAAAATTATTTTCTTGGCTACAGAATCTTATCAGTTGGACGATGATATTTGTAAATAAACTTTTTAGATTATTTCAAATAATTTCTTTATACTTTTTGGACTTTCTATACCGAATTGGCGTTGGTTTTACTCGTATTTAATCTAGCTCGATCACTCGGAATTGTTCTATGGAAAGCGTTACTTTTGTTTGATATTTTTTTATCTTTTCGCGTGTTTCTATCGCCCCGGTGTTCTTTGTTAATTTTATCTAACTCGACGATTTTCAAACATTTCCCTCGAAAATGGATTTCTGTTTTACTTTTTTCGAGGCATTGTGATTCGTGCGGTTGGCTTCCATACTGCTCGAAAATTTTTTTAACAATTCACCGAAAAATATACCATTGTTGGTATATTAAAATACTTTGGCTTCGAGGGTACTAGTAGATTTGTATTATTTTCATTCCAGCCCGGTCATTATTTCTTAAAATACATGTTCGAAATTATGTTTCGTGTCAAACCATTCGCTCTTTTGTCTTTTTATATTTCGTTTCGTAATGACGTGGGGTTTGGTTGCTTTTATTTTAATTTAAAATTCTTTGATCATACCTGTGAACTCTAATTATTAATCATTGCATGAAACTGTCGTATTTTAAAGGTAGAAGCATTCTATAATTTTTTACACAGAGACAGTGAATGATAGATTTTAATTCTGTTTAAATATCATTCAATGTTTCTTAACGAGCGAGTATTTCGAGTCTGGTCAGGAAGTAAACTTTGAATGTTTCAATGAAATGTAAATTCCTGTAGAGACGTTCTGATTTCTAAGCATGCCGAATTCAGCTGGAATTTAAATATTTCTCTTTCGTGAACGTTGGAAAGTTAAAACTCAAAAAAGAAGCGAAATAAACGAACGCAACTGAAATACATTGTACATTCGAAGGGTGAAAATCGATTCGACTGTGCACAATAATACAGAACATTAATAATGAGCTGCGGTTAATACTCAGGAATAATTCAATATTATCAACAGGGTAAGAATAAGCAAATGATATTAATAATAAAAGGTGCTTTTAATTTAATTACTTTGACTTGCAATATTTCTCCTGCAGTTCGTTTTCGGATTATACTTTCTGTTTAGAATTCTACAATCACTTCATTGCTGTGTATCGTACGTCTCATTCCATTACCATTTTTGTAGTATTATACATTTATTATATTATACATTTTCGACTTTATTGCTTTTAACAGCGATATAGGTGGCCAATTAAATTTCCAACTGTGTCCCTTATATTGTTCTTCAGCAACCTTTTGAATAATGAATTAATTTTACTTCCTCGATTTTATTATACTCTTCATTCGCAAGATCATTCTTGTTTAAATAGTGCTATACTTAAAACGTGCATTTTTTTTTTTATTTTAAAAAAATGTCAAATGTAATTTCTTCGTCTTATTTTCGTACGTGGAATCACCCCTTAAAATTTCGGACATTTTCAGCCGAATATTCTATATAAAAATCCGTATAGATTGTTTAAAAGCGTGTAGTAGTACTAGTGGGATAAATAAAAAATGTAGAAAAAATTTTTTAGCGCGAGACTTCGTTTTTAAGTAGAGTTCGATCGCTATGTGGCTGACGCGTCTGACCATTATTCGCTATCTCTACTTGCATCGAGATTCGTTAACATTAAACCTACCGCGACCGGTCAAATGACCATTTTTTAAATTTTGTTTAGAATTTCTAACACCCAATATTATTTTAGTGCCATTTAACTTGGCAATGAACTTACGAATAAACATCAAAACACAACTTTCTATACGTGTAATGCAAAAATTAGAAGTACGTTGCCTCGTGAAAGAGAAAAATCAAGTCATTTATGACAGTATAACCATAGAGTGCCGGTATGTTTAGTGTTAATACCAACAGTGTTTTGATATTATCCGTTTCAGCTTGTTTCGAGGCTAAAAGGTAGTAAATTGACGGAAAGTAGAGGAGACTATCACACCATCGTCGATATTACTAGGTACTAGGTACGATAAAATAAGTAGAAATAATGAATAATGGTCAGACCCCTTAGCCAACGCTTACTCGATCGCTCAACACTGATTTTCTTCAAAACCACCAGATTTTAACCCCTTGTCGTACAATAACGAGAGTCTAATTCGTGTATAAATTTTCAATGTCAAGTTTCCCAATCATGAGACTACACTCGTCATCAATTTTTATGTATATAAAAATCAACACATTTTTCCATTCGCGAGGTATTCATAAAACAAATCTATTCTCGTTTGCAGCCATTCCTCTTACGAGCAAATTTAAATAAAATAAAATAACATACGTTTGAACAATTATTTCGAATTAAATCGTACCTCGACTGTTCAAAGCCCCGAGATCTTAAGAATAAAAGTAAACTTTAGCAGCTTAATTTGAAAGGAAAGGGGGTCAGGCTTCGTTCGTGAAACAATAGTTTCGCGCCGTAATTTCAACGAATCTGGGACGGCGAACACCCAGAGGATCGCGTATTGAAGTTTCAATATACTTACTGTGCAGAGTCCGCAGGATTGTTGCTTATCGCTCTGAGACAGGCGTAAATGGTGACGATGACCGCCGGCACCGGCCATCCGAGCGCCATCAGCCATTTTACTAGCTTGTGCTCGCTGATGAAGGCGCTAACGAGAAGAGTGTGAAGGTAGAAACCCTCGCACAACATCCATGCGTAATTGGTGAGCAGAAAATAGTGCAGGACGATGTGTAAGAGGCGACACATTATCTAAACATTTTTAAGAAATCGTTGTGTCCCCAAAATGGCAAACATCACCTTCTCTATCAAACAAAATTCGGGCCTTTGGTCTATTTATGTTTCTATCTAATATGAGCTCTTGTTAAATTCGACCACAGCTTACAAAATTTAGCGATATTGCACAAAATTGGGGAATATATTATATTATTTAATAGTTTCCAAGACACGTCTAATTAACAGTAAATGTTAAGAGGTTGGATAAGTGGGTAGATTATAGCGCGAGATTATCGCGAAAGACAAGGTGTTTGGATGTCTCTGGTTAAACGCGACGAAGTGGATAATTTCTCTCGCGGCTTTGCAACAAGCCAAACAGTGTTCCACGAGTAAATAAGACGGGTAAATGTCAGAGGACGACTTGTTCGCACGTACCCCATTATTTAACAGTAAATCCGTGTTCGCGACGATGAATCTGTACCAGACGAGCCAGAGGGCGTTGTTCAAAGCAAACGATGCGAACAGATTCATATGAAGAGTGATCCTTGCACACCTCAGAGAGCTGCATTCAGAAAGGAACAATAAACATACCGACGAAGCGTTTCTCCGTAATCGCGAAACAGAGCCATTCGTGTACTCGGAGCGGAAGAGATACAGGGACCATTTATTTTAGTTTTTAGATGAAAACTGATCAAGTGAATTTCTTTCGAGATTTACGAGTTCATCTTTTTCGTCGAGGATCCAGCGCGACGCGGGTAAGCAGAGTTACCGTGACGTGGATCGCGCAACACGAAGAGACTTTAACCCCTTCGAGTATACTGGTATACGTAGCTCAACGAGTGTAATAAGGGCCCTAAGGTAGTGGCTCGAGCGTTGATAAGCGAGTGCCAGGGACGAGAGTCACCGATCAGACTATCGTCTGGACCAGGGGTCGGCAACCTTTCGAAAAAGACTAAATTTTCTATTCGTTGCATCATTATCCTCGTCGAGAACTTCTCGCGAACTAGTAAAAATAAATTGTGGATATGCTATTCGAGAAAATCACTGTGAGGGTTAAAAATAAAGGCAGTTTTCAAGAATTTCTGAATTTTTTTCAAAAATGTTTTCGAAAGTGCATTTCTTGAACTACTTCTTGTAAAAATTTCGTACAAAAATATTAGTTATTATAGCTATAATAGGAACCAGTGTGAGAGCCCCCCAAAAAATTTGTTAGAAACTTCCGGACGTGTGATTTTTCACTGCAAGTTGTGAAACGAGAAATCATGCAATTTTCTTAAACTACAAGACAGTAGCTTCAATTGCACGTACCCAATTTTTAAAATAATTATTTATTATAAGATGGTGGAACTTTGAAGGAAAAATCTCAAAACGCCGTGACAAAATCATCATTTCTATGTAAATACCTAATATAAGCGATATAAGAATAGTATTAGGTACCACCATACAAAATTTGAAGTAAAGTACCACTCAAGTGGTATTTCAAAGCAGTTAAATATTATAATTTAATAAAGAGTTTCAAAGTAAAGAAGTAAAGGCAGTGCAGCCCCGTGTAATTGAAAGAAATGAAAAAAGAAATTTCGATTTTTTCAATCCGTCACAGTGGTTTATCCCTTTAAGGAGTTGAATGCATATATCTCTTCCACTCGTTGTACCAGAAAATGGAGTCATATTTGTATGATCGTACTCATCGATGTGTGCAACCTCCTGGGAGCAGAAAATATCGGCTACTGAAAGGTTCGCCCGACTATGGATCACGGATAACCATAACGACCATTTTTACGTCAAGCTGGTTTGGCCCAGTTTGGTCTTTGAATTATAGTATCCGGCGCGAAAGGAAGAGAAACGGGCCAATAGAATAACCGAACTATCAATATTTCCTGCGCCAGGAACATTTTCGAAAATTCTTTTAACCCATTGTAGTCGTACGATAAAAGGTAAATTTTAATAGATTCAGACTATCAGCTGCACTCATCCGGCGTAACGAATTGTGAAATATTTTTTGTAGAACATATACGTATGGACAAGTATCGATAATAGGATTGAATCAGACTTTGAAAATATAGATAATACATTTGGATAGAAATTGGAAAGTAAATTTCAATGGGCACAGATTATTCCGTGAAAATAATATTAGTTAATTTTATAAGTTATATAGAATATTTATTGCTTTAAAATCTCAATTAGTGCGTATTGATGATGAGTTGTAGAGGTTTAATTAGATCAAGTTTTTATGAGTTTCTTGATAGAAATTGGATGTTACATTATCACCGACTCACCGGAAGTACGTCAGTATTACCAACGACAGTAACAACGCTATTAGCGATATCGCGTATCCGGCTTCGTAAATTCCATTAATCACCTGCTGCCACTGAAACCAAAATTAATTTCATCGTTAGGGAATCGCTTTCGAAGATAATGGTTTATGAGACACGCCAATTTAAATCTATAATTGATCGGAATCGTTTCTCGAATCGAACGATGCGTCGTTTTCGTTGCTGGACGTGCTATAATTAATTCCTTCCGATCAACACCACAAATAACGAATCGAGAGAATGATAATTTTAGGCAGAAAATATTTTAAGGTTGTTATTATTAATACTACTTCTCCCGAGGTTTGTATCCATTTCCATCAAATTTACGTCTCTCGCATCCCGGATTCAAATAACTATGGAAATAAAAGAAATATTTTCATAAAGTTAAAACAGCACCTCTGGTAGAAATAACATTGATGAATGTTTGTGTAGAATGTGTATCGAGTAATCCTCTTTAATTAAAAGAAAGGTAATGACGCGGAAAAGGGGCAATCTCACCAATTTCGATTACAAACTTCGCCTTTCTTCGATCCCTACAACGACGTAATCCCTTACTAACTTCTTCCTCCGCCTTTCCTTCTAGAAAATAGACCCGAGGCGAAGATATTTCCCGGAACTATTCGTATCGATAATACCACGAGGCGACTCGAACGGTTCTCAATTGAATTCGGAAATTATCACGGCCAAAAACGCTGAAAGTCCTCCTCCGGACAATAAGGAACTTGGACCAGCGCATAATGGAATTCAAAATAATGGTCTCCACGCGAGGTCGTCGTATTAATATGGGCTTGAAGTTATATAACAGTTGCCGCCTCTAGTTAGATGAACTTTGCATCAACTTCCGGCGGTGTCTAATTAAACTCGCCGCCTCTTTGTCTTCCGGAAATTTCATTTAACCCGCTACCAAACGAAACGACTGACACTCTTCGTTTGTTTTGTCCAGTAAACGGATGATTAATCGCGCGTAAAGTCTTCTCGTGACGCGTGACAATTCTGCTGAATAGACGTTGATTGCTATCGGTCCTTAAAGGACACACGGAAGACGCTGTTCAACAGAAAGGACGACCTTCTCGCGCGTCATATTCAATTATATTTCATAATTCAGGATACCATTCAAACTTTAGTCGAATTAAATCAACATAATTCGTTTTCTTTAATGTTCTTGCTTCGAATTTGTCCCTTTGTCAAATTAATACGATGGTGAAACATCAACGAGACGGAAAGATAAATAATTTAGCAAATTCTTTCGTTGAAGGTAAAAGAAAAAGGAACATTTAGCTTATTTTATGGTTTTGATGGTTTTGTATACAGGGTGTTCGGCCAACCTTGGGAACAATTTTAATAGGGGATTCTAGAGGCCAAAATAAGACGAAAATCAAGAATTTCAATTCGTTGATGGAGGCTTCGTTAAAAAGTTATTAACAATTAAATTCAAAAATTTCAAATCGTTCTGGAAAAATTATTTTCGGTTACGGGGGTCAATTAAAATCATTTTTTGTGAATAGACATACCCCCGAAATCCTATCCACTTTCTAGAAAAAAATTCGAGAATGTGTGAAATTTTTCAACAGAAAAAAAAATTTCAAATCGTTTTGGAAAAATTATTTTCGGTTACGGGGGTCAATTATAGTCATTTTTGGTGAATAGACATACCCCCGAAATCTTACCTATTTTCGAGAAAAAAATTCAGGAAGGTGGACAAATTTTTCGGCGAAAAAAAAATTTCAAATCGTTTTAGAAAAATTATTTTCGGTTACGGGGGTCAATTACAATCATTTTTGGTAAATAGACATACCCCCGAATTCTTACCCACTTTCGAGAAAAAAATTCAGTACCGGCGGAACTTTAAGCGTTAATAACTTTTTAACGTAGCCTCCATCAACAAATTGGTATTCTTGATTTTCGTCTGATTTTGGCCTCCAGAATCTTCCGTTGAAATTTTTTCCAGGGTTGGCCGAACACCACCCTGTATAATAAGTTTTGTGGACAATTTCTTTTCGCCGCGAGCCGCAATGATCGAGATTTCGTTCCATAGTGAAAATTTCCTGCTTTAAAGAGCAAAATCTAACGACTAAGCTCGGCGATAAGGGAACCAGACGGCTTTCAAGAATCCCACGAGGCGGTCGAGCGAATGAATATGCTAAGATGCAATGAAATGAATTTGCCCGGGATAAGCCCGAAGAATAGAAAAGAACGAGGCTGTGCTCATTTCTTCATTTACGTCAGAGAATATCTCGAAAGGACAGAGACACTTTGGCGAAACATACAATTTCTATCGAGTTCGCTATTCAAATTAGCAGTCCACTTATTCTCAACGTTTCTCTTTAAGAGTTGCATTTAGAAGCTAGAACATTCATAGGTATTGTTCTCAAGAAATAAATTCTATTACAATTAAATGACAACTTTACGTTATTTGTTCACGAGGTATCTATATTCTTTATCATTTGCTCTAGGTACTTTCTCGTTTAAGCGCTACTAATAACTATGAAGCTTTGCTTCAACCATTAAGTACAATTCCATGTTACTCGTAGCGGCGAAGTCGTGGCTTAAAAGAGTTTCTCTTATTTATTTGCTCGCGAGGAGATATTTTCATTTTATGTATATTCTTGTTTAAGTGCTGGTAAAGTATGTCTAACGCGTACTTAGCGTAAAATACGTTCTTATGTTAGTCATAACAGTCTCTGCTTTAAAAAGTTTGCCCTTATTTATTCATCCCCTTACGACGACAGCTTTTTTCGTTTGTTTTGCAATATACTTTCTCGTTAATGTGGTATTCAAACGTTTAAGAGATAAAATACATTTCTATGTTACTCGTACTAATGGGGTCGGTTTTGAAAGAATTTTTTTTTTCTTGCATTTATTCCCTTACTAATGAGGATATATTTTTTTAATTCGTTTTTATTTTTTTTCTCGCTTCTCTACGACCGGAAACCACTCGGAGATGCTTTTACTATAAAATACAATTCCATGTCAGCCCCGGTGACGGAATGATGGCTTGAAAAAAAAGTTTGTTCTTATTTATTCATTCCTTTACGACGACATCCCTTTTCACTCATTTTATGTATTTTCCCGTTTGAGTGCTACTAAAAGTATTTCGAAGGTGCTTTTACCGTAAAATATATTCCTATGTTATTTGTTCAAACAGGAGACTTGTTTCAAGTAGTTTTATTTTTATTTTAGATACAGTATATTCAATCAGTAGTCGTGGCTTTAAGAAAAGAAACCTTTTTCCATTCGTACGTTCATCTATAAAGATAGTTTATTTCATTTAGTTCAAGTGCCTTCTAGTTTATGTCCAGCAAAGTGGTTTCAGCGATATTTTCAACGTAAAATTTAATTGAATGCCACTCTTAATGTTCCAGTTACGATATTTTTATGGAAACAGTGAAAAATTCAAATGGCTTGTTAGTTCAATAACTGAGAAGAAACGCGCTATAAAGATATCATATGTTCCATATCTTCCATTTAGAAACGGATATTGTCGTTCGTAAAAGAGACAATAAAATTTTAGTCAAATTTACGAACCTTCTTGAAAAATCAATCTACCACGTACAAATTGACGAAGACCTTAAGAAGGAAGATTCTAAAATTTATAAAAATGTATGAGAACACACTGAGACTATAAAATCTTTTTATGAAAATTTGACCGAATCAACGACTATTTTTCTAAATTGTACGCGTCAACGTTTGCAAAGATGAATCTGTTTCCACTCGTGTCAGCTTTATTTCTGACTTGGAAATACCGTGTGTATTTATTTTTCGTTCTTCAATTTTAAATTGGTGGGATTTCCCGCGCACGACGTGTGCTGTGCTTTCCGACTCTATAAAGGGGCAAATGCGAAGAAATTGTGTTAACCGTAAGTATAAATTTGATCGTGCAGCAATAGCCAAAGAAGTACGAAAGCGTTTGCTTTTCAGATAAGTGTGCGAGCATTAAAGTATATTACTTTCTTAACAGAAAAAAGAAAAACTATGGAAAAAGTAGCAACGGTTTAAAAAACAGAACATTGTGGAGGGTATAAATTTTACGATAAAATTCTATAATTTTTAGTTAGGAAAGAAATGCAATTTCTGTGTTTATGATATTCTGCAGACTTGCAGTTTTATTCTCGCTGGATGTGTTTTACATTCTCTTGTTTGCTGTCGCAAATTTTAGTATGGAATGTTAAAATTTTTTCGAAAGCGTCGCGGAGGTACAATTAAAGACTTTGTAAAAAAAACATAAATAGATTTTTACAACTTGCATTCGTTGCTTCTGGGTTGCTATACACGAATGGGATAAAAAGTAAAGTAAATGGTGGATGGTGATGGATTTTTTAAAAGTTTTTAAAAATAACGAAAAAGTTTATAACGAGGATGCGTAATATTGAAATCAGATTTTATCGAATTTGTCACAGAGATGAGATTTAGATATCATTGGAAATTCAGATTAACATTTGCGTAATTCAAATATTATGCAGATCTACATTAATATGTGTATAACAGAAATATTGTAGAAATTTATATTAATATTTGTGTAATATTGTATAAATCTGGATTAATATTTGAATAATAGAATCAAAGTTGGGCATATTTATATCTTTCAGAAAATCTAGAAAATTTGAAATCGTATATAATATTTAACAGAATTTATAAATGTTCAGTAGGTGATCAAATTTCAGGAATTCAAAGTATAGTAATTATAGATTTTTAACCGGTTTAGGATAAGTTAAAAAGACAGAAATCTGTACGAATCAAAATAATAATTACATCGCATAAATATTTAAACATTGCGTTTGAATAATGTTTCATAGAATTACGCGCAAGGTTGATTATTAAATTTTTTCTCGATGCTGAACAAAAATTTCGTTAAAAAAACGTTGATGAAAACGAGCTACTTTGAACAACCACGGATATTAAAAATGAAATGGAATAACGTGGTAAAATCATCGGTAATATAATTTTCATGTACCATTTACATCGAAACATTTATCGAACCGAACCATTCTTAATTTTACGAAACATCAAAAAGTCCATCAATAAATTCACGTTTCGCTTTACACATTCCCGCAACGTACAAATTTAATTTCAAAAGTTTCGATATTATCCTTCTTCGCAATGGATGAAAATAAATTCTCATAATGCGCGATGGATAGCAAAAACATTATCCAACGTATAACTTTTCGTTCCATTCTAGATTTTTATACGCTGGATAATTGTTATTGCATAGTCATCGTTATTTTCACCTTTTTCCCCCCGAAAAATTGTTCCTGGAAACAGATCCGGTGCTCTTATTCGAAAATTAGATGGGAAAAAGGTTTCCTTGCTTCCGTCTGTTGTTTTCATATATTTATTTCTCCCCTTCGTTCCAACCTGACAGCTTCCATCCTACCTCCGTGTTCATATTTTATTCTATTATACTTCTCCGTTTATTACAATATATGTACATCGTTGCATAAAACTTTGAAGCTACCTTCTTTAAAATAAATGAACTCGTATACGTACATTTTGACGCTCTACTATCGTAAATTTTTCACTATTTCTTCCTATCGACATTTTCAAACAAAATTTGTTGAAAGGACGTGCTGCGAAAAAATGGAACACTACTGTTATTCGTCGATATCAAAAGAATAGAATATAAAAGTTCGAACAACTAGGTATTCATATAGTCATCGGAATTTGAATATTTTAATTCAGGAGAATATTTCTTAGGTACGATATGAAACACAAATTCTTTTGGAAACGCTAAATTTAAGCTAAATTTAAAACGCTGAATTAAAAGATTACAATTCTGATAATTATGGAGGATGTTCGGCCATTCCTGGGAGAAATTATAATGGGAGATTCTAGAGGCCAAAATAAGACAAAAATCAAGAATACCAATTTGTTAATTGAGGCTTCGTTAAAAAGTTTCGTAAACGTTTAAAGTTTCGTCCGTATCGAATTTTTTTCTAGAAAGTGGGTAGGATTTCGGGGGTAGGTCTATTCACCAAAAATTATTGTAATTGACCCCTGCAACTGAAAATAATTTTTCCAGAACGATTTGAAATTTTTTAATTTTGTAGAAAAATTTCACACTTCGAATTTTTTTTCTTGAAAGTGGGTAGGATTTCGAGGGTATGTCTAATGAACATAAATGATTCTAATTGACCCCTGCAATCGAAAATAATTTTTCCAGAGTGATTTGAAACTTATCAATTTCGCCGAAAAATTAGGCATCCTACCCCTGTCGATTTTTCTTAAACATTCGTTTTTCATTTTTAATAATTTTGCTTGACGCTCCAGAGAAAAGTCGTCTAATACTTTTTTGTAGGTACCCATGAGCTCTACTTTAGAAAAAAGTTTCATTGAATTATATTCACTATTGAGGGAGTTATGGCTATTTGAAAATTGGACCACTTTTAGGGGGGTTTTCCTCATTTTACGGGGTCAAGGAACAACTTTTTGAATATTCTTAGAATTTCTACATATTCTTCATCAAAATACGCGTTGTTTGCGGGTTGAAACATTAAAATCCTTCAATCCGTTCAGGAGTTATGATATTTTAAAGATACGCATGAAATTTCAGGGGAACATATCAATGGTATGGTCAGACATTTCGGTAAAGAATTTTTTCCTTGAAAGTGGGTAGGATTTCGAGGGTATGTCTATTGACCGAAAATGATTGTAATTGACCCCTGCAACCGAGAATAATTTTTCCAGAATGATTTGAAATTTTTTAATTTCACCGAAAAACTTGTCCACCTTCTATGTATTATAGATAATTCGAACACTAAGTGTACCAATTTTCTTGATTTCTCGATAAATCATTCCTGGGATATAAAGCGATACAGAGATCGACCATTCGTACGTTTTGTATTTTTGGTCGCGGGTTATTTAAAAATATAAAACAATAGAAAACACCGGAGGGGGAGAGACAAATTTGAATTGGAAAGTGTACGTGCGCGTGATTGTGGTTTTATATCGACAAATAACAGTAATATTTCATTTTCAAACAGCATATATTCAAACAGCAGAAATTGATAAAAATTTGGAAATTTAGCATTTCGAAAAGAATTTGTATTCCATATTCTGTACCTAAGGAACATTCTCCTGAATCGAAAGATTCAAATTTTCGAAACATCACGCGCACTTTGCGCGTCGATGTGACACGTTATCCCTTTAACCTTTGTCCCTTTATCTCCGCTGGCTGATCCTCGACCTTACTCCCTCGTGAAGATCGCATCGAACGCCATGGAAATAATCTCTGTTCGAAACTGTTGCTAAATAGACGTTAGTCGGGAAAGAAACAGGATCTTGTTTATCTTGTTCCCGGCATTAATCCTCGCCAGAAGCATCTGGGGATCGTACGGCAGCTGTACGACTAGTTTCAAGGAACACGGAAACGGGGGATCCTTGCTATTGCTTTTCTGGAATTACAGTTCGCGACAAGTGGTACATAGCACATCGCGTAGCTTCGTCCACGTCGTTAGTTAAACCACGGATCATTAACGAAGCTAACTCCAGCTATCTCGTATTGATTTTATCAAACCTTAAAACGTAACTCCGCTACGAACGAACTCTTATTCGACACACTTACGCTGAGGTCCTCCATGTTGACGCATGTCGTGTAATTGCTCCACACCAGATCGGACTCTGGATGTCGAAACCAGGTACCGTTTGATTCGCAATATTTGTGCGCCACCCCTGCAACAAGGAAATTTATCACCATCATCGATGAATTTCCAATGGAGACATACTGGAATTGTAAATGTACAGCAAATGCACAGTGTCGCGATTACGGTTTAATTTCGTAAATAATTAATATTCACCATTATAAAGAACTCTCTGAATAATAGGAATATCGATATTTCTCTGTTCTTAATGTCAATAAAACCTGTTTTACTTCACAGGATTCAAATATTCTATTAGATTTAACGTTTAAAATGTATTATTTACACCGAATGGCAGCAGATACTATTAAAATAAATCGTACAGCTGCTTTGTAATATTCCAAATCAAAGGATTATAATGGAAACGTATCGTGAAAGTACGTACATTTATCCAAATTAAAACTGCCAATCGAGTATATAATTTAGGTCAGGATTTGCAACATAAATGAAAGTGAAAGTATTCAATGAACACCGTGGAACGCAAAAATTGTTGTTTCTAATATTAGGGCAGGCTTGAAACTTTATTCTAATATAAATTTTTATACCATTTTAATATCTTTTATCACGATCAGAGTTTTTTGTAGCTTGGAAATTGTTAACGATGTTGTCGGTTTCGTCTGACTCTGCAATAAACAGTTACAGAGTGTCTCGTAAAAAGAAACATAACGCACTACCATTAAAAGTGACAAATTTATAGCAATTAAACAGATAACTCGTTTGATAAATGTACTGTTTCAATCATTAAGGAAAAATTTAATTTTATGAATTAGTACCCTCCCATAACACGGTATTTCAAAAACACTGCAACAGGAATAAATAAAAAGGCTGGACAAATTTCATTTCTTCAGATAGAACTACGAAACAAAGATAAATTTCATTTATCGTGGACAATGCTTTAGTCTTTTTGGAATTTTATGTAAGATCGTCGACAAATAACGATAGCTAGGAGATTTCTATCGAATATTTGTACCGCGCTATAGTTTTATGAATATTAATTTATGTGCAAAAGGGTTGGAAGTGTTTTGTTTGTAAAGGAATGGATAATCAGGGACAGCGAGACAACAAGGAGTATGAAACGAGTGTCTGTGAAAGACAGACGTGATTCTAATTTGCGTTGCCAAGTATTAATTAATTATGTTCAATTAATTTTCCTCAAATAAATTCTCTTCGTTAAATCCTACAATAGAACTTCTTTTTTTGGGAATGTCGCGAGGAATAAAACCGTTTTGGCTATTTTTCGAGGCAAGTTCGGAATGTTTAAGCGCAAGATGTTCGGACCTTCGGATTCCCTTTTCGTATTGTTCAATAAGATCGAAGCAGCGCCGTGAGATAGACGGTGTCGGATGAGAAGAAGAACAGCATGTATCGTAGATCACGCGCGCTTTTGCAATAAACGTCACATCAACATTCTCCCGACACCGAACGACCAACACCGAAAATTGAAAACTTTCTCCGCGCTCGTTCGATCGGAATTTCTTAGAGCGGAGTATACGTCGTCGAACATTAACGTGCACGTGTGCGATTTACGAGATCAACGCGTTAGTTTTATTTTTCTTTCGAAACTCGAGGCTGCGTAAACTTTTCGGGCGATTCTCGCACGAACTCGAAGGAAAACATGTTCGACGGACAAATTTGTTTAAGTCGAGTAAAAATATTATTGGAAATAGGTGGTGGAATAGAAATAAAACATACAGTTCAAATACCTTTTAAACTAAACTTTGTCTTTGTTCGAAACACATGGAAGGGCACGTCCATTCAGTTCGGAAGAAAGTGTTAGAATGAAGAAAGGTCAGTCAACCGATCGGTCCTATTCATTGTCTAAATAAGCCAAGGGATAATCTCCTAATATATAATAAAAAGGATAATCTCCTTGAGGAGAAAACCACGTTCAGGAGTTTCCTGCCGAAATGGGGCAGGAAAATGGGTCCTCCTCTCCCAAGTCGATGACCAATCAATAGTCGATGGTTTTTGTAAATGAAAGAAAATGTTCTCTTTTTGAGAGAGACAAACCAACAAATATTATCTTTTAGGGAGATAAAGAATGGTCAGAAATTCACAAAAGCGTTTGACAATAAGAAAAAATATGAGCTGACTGGGATATATCAACATTTAAGTAAACAGAAAAGGTATTTTTTTTAAAATGAGCCTGCATAATTCGCGAGCATAGAAAAACTCGAGTGCATTAAACGTTTCCCCAATTATTAATGGAAAGCATGAAATTTCGTCGACTGTTGACGGGCGCATTACTAGCTCGAGATGCCATCTGCAGCGGACACAAAACGCGTAAGGCTGGCTTCGACGAAAATGCCATTGTTCGCGGGTGCTTTTGTCTCGTGGCGTATTCACCGAATAATTGTATATGCGGACGGGGCAAAAACGCGCGGAAAGTCGCGTTCGCGTGTCAACGTGACTGCGAAACTGACGCTGCATTTACACGGTCCCGCGACATATCGAGAAAGTCGCGCGAGAGACACACACGATGGCGGGAAAAAAGTCTCCGTCCATCCAGAATTCTTTCCTCGATTCGACCAAATTTTCGTAATTTGTCGTCGTATAATGTCCTGCGTCGGTTTTGCGAATTTAGTAAAATAAAAATTAAAATCTACTGGTCAAAAATAATATTTCTTCGTTCGAAGCTTCGTCTACGAAAATACCAAATCGATGGAAAATATGCAATTACTAAATATACAGCGACATCCATTCGCGAGAAATAAATTCTGTTACCGTTAAATGTAACTTTATACCATTTTTAGTATTTCGTTTGTTAAGTCTCGCAGTAATGAGGCTACGATCGTTGTAAAGTTTAATATATTAAAATTAACACGTTTTTACAGGTTGAATAAAATTTTTAAAAAGGCTTGCAATTAAATCGTGCATCAGAGGGTTAACTATATTTAAAATAATCACCTTTAGGAAATTCATTTTTCATCGTCCGTCCACGTATCTTTATATCTCCACAAGAATATTTCGTATCATTTACTATATTTATTTTAATCGCCGCTACAAGCTACTAATTTTTATCATAAAGTACAATTCTATGTAGAAGCTTTTCTCCTCGCTGCAAATAGAGGGTGTTAGCCGTTCGTAAGAAGCCGAATTCGTACATAATCCGTACGTGTACGGTCGTAGTTCGCGTTGCAACTCGAAGCGACTGACTTCTGCAAAGGACACAGTTTTCCCCCGGACCCCCCCCCCAGTGTATTTCAACTTTTCTCTCAGGTTTCGAGCAGTGGGACACGCACGTAGAAAATTGTCGATGCTCGTCACGTTCGCGACGCGGCGACTCGCGATCGCATCCGTAATGTCGCGGAAGAGCAGCTTTTTCGACGATCGCGGATAAATCCGACGTCGAACGACGGAATCGGGTTACGCGACACGAGAAGGCTTATGCATAACAAGCATACCACGCATCGGAAGTATTGATTGAGCGATTCGTATCCCGCCGGAAGACGCGTGAAATTCGAAGAAAATTTTGCTTCGAATCTTTATCGATGTTTCCGAGTTATATTGCATCGAAGTCGTTGGGAATTCAAGCTCGAACAGCCGAGAGATCCGTTTCGTTTGCTTTTGGAAGAAACTACATAACCGTTCCTACGTAGATTTATTCGTCGTAAATAGTAATTATTTTCTTAGAAATTGTTAAAAAACATTTCTAATATTATTTACTCGAAGGTTAAAATTTTTAAAAGAAGGTGCAATCTTGTGACCTTGAGAAACAGTGTTATTTTTGCTCATGCCAATTGTGTTATCTTCGTTATCAGTATGTGTCTGTTGTTTAATTTTCCAAGTTTTGTTGCGAAAAATAAGCCACTGTTTATAATTTGCATGAATGAATATGCTAATGGCGTATTAATGAACCTCTGAGACGTTGTACCCCAGATAGCTTATCTTTTGTATACAAACTCATAACGCGAAAGATTACTCGAGAATCTCTGGCATTTAAACTGTCTTTCATAAATCATTCCAATTTGCTTTGCACGGAAGACGATTACATACAACGATAGACAACAATTTACAACGCGTGTGGAAATTTTTCAAGTTTATAAAAATTAAAATAAAATTCCAATAATAACAAACATGCATACGTTTATGCAGACGTTCGAACAATATTTGTCTATCTTAATAATAACGTTATCCAGGGTTCTTTTCGTATTAAACAAAATTTTCCAACATTCTTCTCGATACCTTCTTTGGATGTTGGTACAACCTGTTGAACGAATATTAAATAAAAATGAAATACATAGATCGAGAGTTCGTGTATAGTTATAAAACATTCTGTGTATCGTCCAAGATTGCACCGGATAGTATCACGTATCACGGGTTTCTTCGACCCAGAGAATTATGCAAATTAGTTGGAATAGAACGAAGATACATAGCACGCTCTGGAGTTTTCGCAACTTCGCAGGCGCACGTTGAATTTTACGATTGAATTTAAATGAGTTGATATTCGTTTGAAAATTTCCATTGTCTCCCCGTGCCTGTAATATCGTTCTGCTTGAAAACTCGCATCGGAGCAGAGCACAGGGTTACCATTCATCAACGTCACAGTGGAAAGTGAAGAATGTAAGCAATATAAAACCCTTAGAACCGAAGCTACGTAAGGCGTTTAGAAAACGTTCCTTAAGGGCACTCGCACGAAAGTCGTTCCACGGACATTTTATTTCCAGCTGTGTTCCTTTGTGCGTTTATTTACTCGATGTTACGTCTGCACGAAACCCATCGAGGAGTTATTTGTCAAGAAAGTTTTCCAGCATTTTTAATTTTTGTTTCTCGTGATATTTTATTTAATAACATTATCATTTTAAAATTCCTCGAGGATTTAAAAAAAAATTTCATTTAAAGTTTGTTGGAAGGAAAAATTAAAATTTTTGCCCGAAACGCCAAGATATGGAAAGTAGCGTAAATGTTTTAGTCAAGATTAAAAAATAACGTGCCTTACGGTCGAACGTTCTCGAAATTTTTAATCACGCGAACGAATCCTTTTTTTTTTCGACGTCGTTGCTTGATTTTCCGCGGTTAAAAAGATTCGTTTTT